TTCAGACCCCCCCCCCGTTCTTGAATCAGGCACCAACCTCCCCCCCCCCGTGAAACCCAAAACCCTTAACCTATCTATCTCCGTCGTTCCTCTAGCTAGCCAACTCCGATCGGTGGTCAAGTGCATTGTCATTACCACCGAGCTCAACAGTGACTAGCGATCCAATCCCAGCTCTCAGATCACCCAATCCGACAGATGTTAGGCACGAAATCATGAAAATCCGTAAACTCATCCTCTTCGATTCGACGCCACCGTTTCTAGATTGAAAACACTACCAGAACCTTTTGAAACGTTGTATCTGTCTGATCGTAACCCAGGGTTCCACTTACCAAAACCCCATATTATCCTTCATGGAGAAGTATTCAAAATGATAGTAAAAAACCCAACTCCACCCTCAGTTTCTTGTAAATTTCGATCGATTCAACTGCCGGTGAGCCTCACGCCAACCGCCGTTGTGCTCCCTAGGAGATTTCGACCAAAACGCAACTGGATTTGTCGTTCGAATCTATCCCGTCACCGATCAACATTTTGGATAAGCTCCGGTTGTATTTTGAATATTTTGGCATGATTTTGGTTGAATGTTTGAGTTGATTTTATCTTCGTAAAGGTGTTTGGATGCTCCAGGAGTGCTTGACTGACCGAATCGACCTCCGTCACCGTCAAACATGCTGCCAAGCATCGACAGTGCGCGTGGTGCTTGTCCTCTCTCCAGAAAGCTTTTTAGACCGGTCTAGTCAGTCTGGATCGGCCCAACCCGGTTTGAATCGAGTCTGTTTGACACGACCGAGTCAACTATGACTAAACTAGTCTAAGTCAACCCGAACCTATCAAGCTGAGTCAACTATGTTAAGCCAAATTAGAATAAGTCAACTCATTGACTTTGACCATAGTTGACTTTGACTTTGATTAGTGTTGACTTTGACAAAAATAAATAAAATTTTCAAAAAGTTATATTTTATGTTTTTTAAAGTCATGAGTCTGAATCCGAAGTCTGTTTTGCCAAATTTGAACCCGAAGCCTCCGAATTGACCGTTAAACCCGAAAGTGCATATGTAATTTAAGCAATTTAATTAAGTTCATTTAATTTAATGTCAATAACTGAATTATGTTATCGTTTATTTAAGGTACTTTTGGATCTCTTAATTGTTCGATTGCTCGACTCGTTTCCTCCCAATTTGCTCATCAGTAAGAGCCCATGAATACTCGTATAGTTCTCTAACCCTGTTAGATACTCAATTTAGAATAATATTTCGATTATAACCCTGTTCTGATATAACTTAGATTCACGTACAATAGAAGAGCGTAGTGCTCGATAGATCTATTAGACATATTCTTTCTGCGAGGAGTGTTTCTTGTGTGCCATATACCTATTTTAAATATATGTTTGAAATACCATGTGCACATGACTGTTTGTCTAATATGCAATGTAACTGTTTGTTTGACTTATTTTCGTATGATTTATCCGATTTAATGTATGATTTTTATTGCTAAAATTTAAGCCTGATTGTTTGATTCTTATTCTCTGGTGACTGATTTTATTGAATTGATATATGTTTGAACTCCTATTTCCTGCTATAATTGGTTACTATCTAAAAAATATTTTTCTTCGGGGTACTCTGGATCTGGTATGAAGTCTTTGCAAGTTCAGTTATGATCAAATTGGTAATTCCTTATATAGGTTCAGACCGATCGAACTGGTAATTCTGTATGGACCTAATGTGACTCTTGGGTGGGCTCTTAGGCCCAATGGGCCTAGTGGTAAGACCTTATAGACCCTAAGTTACACTCTTAGGGTGGCACCTCTGCTATGTGCATTGGGTAAGTCCTTATGGGCCTGAGGGCACTCCCCTCAGACGCACCTATACTTCGGCTAGGGTAAAACCTTATAAACCCAAGGTGCTCCCTTAGGTTGGCACCTATGCCTTTCGAGCCTAGGGTAAGTCCTTATGAATGCAATTTTGGGGAACTGCTTATGGTGTTTGGTTGGAGGGCGATTCTGTATTTTAAGCTAAAAACACTACTGACTTGTTCACAATTTTTGGAACTGAACTGATTTTGGAAACTCTACCGACGTTTCATGACTTTATTGATGAACTGATTTTGAAATCTAAACTATATGTTTTATTTATGCTCTATTGGAACACATTGAACTCTCTAGCTCATTCCTCCAAACTTCTCTCTTTTAGATATTTTGGATAGACATCCCAGACATGACACTTGGAGAATCGACACATTAGTACATCAGAGTTGCATTTATTTTGGATGACATGTGCCTATATTTTGAAAATGTTGGTTTTTTTTTATTTATACTACCTTTGATACTAATGTTAAAATATTTTATTTTTATTTAGTCCTTACGACGACTTTTATTTACTGGAATTGAATTTTAATATTATCAAATCTATTTTAAAGATGTTTATTCGAAATATGGTTTTAAATTATTGGAAATGTTTTGGAAAATTTTATAGTAGTCTGTTAGATCTGTCATAACACATAGTCCGGATCTAGGGGTTACACTAATTATTTTTTTAAAATAGTTTAAAATAATTATAAATTTATTGGTACGAACCATGAAGAAGTTGAAGAAGAAAAGTAGAGGGAGGCACGCAACATGTTAGCGTCGGACTCTCCTCGCATGTCCCAATCCTTTTTGCCATATATTGCAATATTTTATGTCACTTAATTTGTCTTTTGTTCTTATCAAAGTCAGCAATTGATTAAAATGAAGATGGGATGCCGTATCTCTTTAACATCAGGATTCAAGATTATGCTTCCATGCTGTGATTATTTTTGGAGATTTCCTATTAAAGATATGGTGTGATTTCACTTTGGTTATATAAGATTTTCATTACTTAGAAAAGATTTATTTTTAATGCAACCGATGGAAGTTGCATTAATGTATTACAACTCAAATTTTATAAGTTTATCCAAATTAACTTTCACCATCTAGAAATGTATTTGTTTTAGGCGATTAACATGTCAAGCACGCACAATTGAACTAAGCAATGCTCTTTGACTACAACTCCTCTAATATTTTTAGAAATGCTAAATGTGTCAAGTGAGGTTTTAGCCCTCTCGATTTTATAAGTTTATTTCAATTTAATTATTTGGATTTGGTCTCAAACATGGAATGATGTAAATTCTTATACATTTTGCCATGAAATAGAGATTTGACTCAACGGATTGAGTCAGTTTAGACCAAAGTGTCCAATGTAAGAAAAAATAAAAATATTCCAAGTTAATGTTTTGGTTGGTGAATAGATTTACTTGCTTTCTACTTTTTATTTTTAACTATGGTGTTTTTAATAACTTAAACATTACTAAACTTTAGCATTAGGTTTATAAGCACTAATTTTTATAACATATTTGTTTATTTTAACAATGATAATTGGATTTTATTAATAAAAACAATAGAATAAATCAGAATTACAACACATTCAAGCATAAAAAGAGAAATGAAGACAATAATCATAAAGAAAACTCATACATAAAATAAAAAATATAAAGAAACAAATAAAAACATCTTTCTTAAGAAGCATATTTATTCATTGAATTGAGGTAATTAAAGATGTTTAACATCTAACCAACAATCAGTTGGTCTAGTGGGATGAGACACTAGATCCCTTAAACAAGATTAGGAGTTCGAATCATGGCGTTTGCGAATGGAGCAAACTGAGTTGGAAGGGTCGCCCTCGCCTCTGCAGTACCCGATCTAGATTAGTCGGTCAATAGATCGGATACTAGTGATTAATTCAAAAAAAATGTTTAACATCTCATCGCCGATACCTTTTTTGAAATAGTAAGACTTTTAATACCAAAAACAAGGGCTAGTATGGGCTTATGAGAAAATGATTAAATTGCTATCATTCATTTGCAGTTTGTATCACTTCTCAACTAGCCTACATTCCAATAATTGATGAGATAGGCCTCAAAGTTGAAATCCATGATTTGCCATTTTAGGCCCATCTTATTTATGGGTTTCCATTCTTCTTATTCTTCTTTTTTTTGGGTTGGATTGAGGGGGGGGGGATAAAGAAATATATTAATCCCAACATATTAATTATGAGAAAAGGATTCTGTAAGTTCCTTACATAGAACTGCAGAGCATAGTTTGAGATTGTTGAATTGATGTACATGTGTAAAATGCTATATTTATGTATTTAAACATGGAATCCATGTCAAATGGACTAAAAAGAGAAATCAGTAGGGAAGCCATTCAGGAATCCGAAATAAAGAAACTGAAACAGCGAAGCGTCAGCCATGCATGATGCTGGACAGATGGAAATGGATTCCACTTCAATGAAAACTCAAAATCCCATAATTCTTCTCCACCGCTCTTAGAGTATGTGGAATAACCCACGTTGCCGTAAAGCAGACATTTTTTATTTTGTAATCCAGCGATAGATTTAGATATTTGAATTAATAATTCATATCCCTATAAGCAGTGCGGTTCAAATAACGAATATTCGAAAAATGTTTATTCATATCTAATCTTAATATGCAACAAACATTAGTTTTAGTATTCATATTTATAATATCTAAATTCACAAAAATAAATCATCAATATATGAGAATCTGGGTTATTATGCTTACACAGTATTCATAAATAGTGGTGTTCGGCAACAAGAGACTTTAATTGAATTCATGAGTTAAATTGATATTATATTTAAAGTCTAGGGTCCAAATGATATTTTATTTAAAGTTTAAGATCAATATATTATTCTGTCTAAAGTTCAATGATTGAACTAAACTCTTTTGACTATCATGTCATGTCATTATACTAACATGATTTAACGATGCAGTGATCAAAATGTAACAATCGATAACGTAAGTAATTAAGATTTACTAAATTGATAATATAAGTGACCAAAACATTATATTTTTAAATTTAGTGAATAAATATATACAGACATGAAAGGAAAGTGATCAATGCAGTAATTTACCCTAATATAAGAAGAGTACAGACGTCAGCTAAAACCAACCCTCTTAAGCCTTCAGCCTAAAAAGCTTTTTTGTAGACCGAACAGGAAAGAGGGACAGAGAGAAACAAAGAGTGTTTGAAAAATGGGGATCAACGCCGTCCTCGCTAATTTCCAGCCTAATTACCTCCTTTTCCCTTCTTCTAGCTCTTCCGTCTCCTCCACCGTCGTCGCCACCCCCACATTTCTTCATCGTTCCTCCTCACAGCAAACGCGTTTCTCTCCGCCGCTACTTCACAAAGTAACATCGTTTCTCCATTCGTTTTTCTTCTACTTCTCAGCGTATTTGAGTTTGCTTTTATTGATCATGCGTTTATTTTGCATTCACAGCAGCAAGTTTTTGCAACTGCTTCGTGTCGTAACGTTAACGAATCTAACTCTCCTTTTAAGAGTGCTGTTGTGTTATCCGATTCTTATTGGTGCGTACGTTTATTTTTCACTTTGATGATTGAAAATCTGAAATTACATGATTAAATTTGTTCAATTTATTGCTTTTTTTGTGTTTATATTTTACATTTTTGCTCCTTCTCAGTTGCATTTTTTAGCTTTGATTTATAAATCAAATAACTTTTTTTCAAAGTTATAATTTTGCTAAAAATTGAAAGAAAATTGAGTATTAGCAGCTATGATTCCTTTGTTTGGTGTTTATTCTTATGAAAAAAGAGAGTATTTAGAATTGCATTGGTTGCATAAGAATGCGGCTGTTTTCATTAATTAAAAATATTTTGAGTACAAAATTCTCTCTTGGAGAACAAAGTGTTGCGCCATATTGATAGACAACAAAAACGCTTTATGAGGCACATTTGAGCAGTCGCGTGCTTATAGGCAGATTGGGTAAATAGTGAAACAGGGAAAGCATTTTATACTTGTTTTCTTAAAGAGTTCTCTTCTTATAGGCATTATGGTATTGTTAAATTTTATCTGCTTGATTCTTTTGATCCTAAATGGTGTTTTTCTTTGTTCTTCTGTGCATGTGGCTCAACTATGTTAAATGCAGCACTGAAACATCTGAATTAGATGAAATAGACTGGGAGGATCTTGGATTTGGCTTTATTTCTACTGATTATATGTATATGATGAAATGTACTCAAGGTGGAAGCTTCTCCGAAGGTGAATTACAAAGGTTTGGGAATATTGAATTAAGCCCCTCATCTGGTGTCTTAAATTATGGGCAGGTCACATTTCTTAACTTTATGCCTTAATTTATCTTCATGCTTTTGCTTGTTTTTCGTTATGCCACGTGACCATTATGGCTATTTGATGGTTGCTGTTCAGTTATCATGTAGCTGTGCTTATTTGCAAATGCATTCAAGTTAAGCTAGTCAAATGCCTATAGATGTAATGCGACTCCTTTCACCACTTTTCCTCTAAAAGGGAAAAAGAAAGCTCATTGTGCATGATATCTGCTCCAAGATAATTGATGTTGGGGGCATAAATTTATTTTTAGTTTATGTCTCTAGGGGTTATTTGAAGGTCTGAAAGCCTACAGGACAGAAGATGACACTATTCTTCTTTTTCGTCCTGAGGAGAATGCTCTTCGACTGAGGCAGGGAGCGGAGAGGATGTGCATGCCATCACCCACTGTTGAGCAGTTTGTGGAAGCTGTAAAGGAAACTGTCTTAGCGAACAAACGTTGGGTAACTAATGGTTTATATTTGAAGCATGAGTTTGGTTTGCAATTGGCTTTACCTGTTTTATAAGTGTTTTAATTTCTCATTTCAGGTTCCCCCACCAGGTAAAGGTTCCTTGTACATCAGGCCATTGCTCATGGGGAGTGGAGCTGTCCTTGGTCTTGCACCTGCTCCTGAATACACCTTTCTTATTTATGTCTCACCTGTGGGAAATTATTTTAAGGTTTATTACCTTCGTTGCTTGATTTTTGGTCATGCGTAAGCTTAATGAAATTTTCTTTTCTCTACCCAAGCAAGAGTGATATCTTATCTGTATAATATTAATTAGCTTTAAGGTTCTTCTTACATGCTCGTCTACACGTATATACACTGTAACTTGGAAGGTTTAAAGGTTTATCTCCCTATGTAAGCTTGGAGGAAAGATATTAGCTTGACTTTGTCTCCAAAGTAATTTTATCCTGAAAGTAGTATAACACATTCAAATAGAAAAATGAAGTGCTACTTTATCTGGAATATTGTCCTACATGCAGATATCCTTATTGTGTGAGAGATTGGTTTCACCCTAAAGTTTCATGATTTGACACACCATTATTTTAGGAATTTTTGTTGGCTTTGTGTTTAAGCTGCCATAGATGAGTAGTCGATGAAGTTGGTCTTTTGTTTTCTTCCATGTGAGATTAGCAACCAACCGTGATTGTGCTCTGTTTCGTATAAAATCCTTCTCCCTTCTGTCATGTTCTTGCTCAACTGAATGTTCCTAATTTCAAGCTATTAATTCTCTGTTTGGAGGTATAATCATTTACATTTTTTTTGGTCAAACATTTGCATTAGGTTTACTCTTTGGAATTCATTCAGTCCCCTTGTTTTGAGAATTTTAGCAAACCGCCATATGATGATTACTTATTCACCAAGATTTTTATACTATTCCAGGAAGGTGTTGCTCCAATAAATTTAATTGTTGAACACGAACTGCATCGTGCCACTCCTGGTGGCACTGGGGGTGTTAAAACTATTGGGAATTATGCTGCGGTAAGCTAGCTTTCTGGTTATTAGCAAATCCCTTTACCAATTTATCTGCCTTTGACAGTTGAATTGATTTTGATAGTGGAAAAATGAGACTTATTAAAGTTCCGCAAGCTAATGTGCCCTTTATGTCATATATAGGTTCTGATGGCGCAGTCTGCTGCAAAAGCCAATGGATATTCTGATGTCCTCTATCTCGATTGTGTTCACAAAAAGTATCTGGAGGAAGTTTCCTCTTGCAACATATTTGTGGTGAAGGTATTCGGTCAGCTTATCTTTTGGTGGTTAATGTTGTTTTCCCCCCAAGCTTTGTTGCATTACTCATCATAAAGCGAAGTGTTAAAATCAATCTTGTCCATTGTGCTTTATGGATACCGTTGCCTTATTATCAGTACTTCATAACCATGCTTTGTCACTGGATGAAGCTATGTTATCATGGTCTCCTTGCTTTGTCTTCATCCTGAATCATCATGTGATGCACTAGAACTAAAAATTCTGGGGCTACCATCATTACAATACTGACTTTGACTGAACGACTCCTACATATAGCTGTGGCACTACTGCTACTTGTTAGAACTTTTACTTTTTTACTATGATGTAGCTGCTAAGAAGAAATCTATATCACTAAATTCTTAGTTCAATCAATCATTTAGGAAATTTTGTTTATTATATATGCTAAAAATTGTGACCTGGCCAATATGGTTATGTTACAATTTAGTATTTGTTTTCTGCAATTTGTGAATGCTGTGATTTTATGGTGTTTCTCGATTAATTTTTGCTTCTTAAAGAATGGTTACTTGTCACTTCGAATTACATTTTAGTGATATAAATAATCTCACGGTGGTTAATTTGTCACTTCAGACTGCATCTTAGTGATAGAAAGGATGTCTCTAAGCGATCACTTGTCACCTCGAGTGACAATTATGTTATAGAGGCACTTGTTAATAAAAAAAATCGTTCAACTTTCCAAATCTCTGAACTTGGAGAAAACAGGAAAGTCGAGCGAGTTGTTTTTCCTTGTTTAATAAAATTTCTTCACTTGTGTATAACATCTGAATATATTGATAGGTATTCTGCAACACTGTGATGCAGTTTCTTTTAATTACATGGATGTTGTCCACTGGATTGAGTTGATAAATTTCCCCCCAAATTTCTTATTGTACAATTTCATAATGGTATCATATCTGCTTCAGTGAGTATTTAAGGGAGTTCCTTGGGTTACTTCTTAATGCTTATCTGCTGATGATGCAGGTTGAGGAACGCCTTGTGGAAGTAGATGAATTGCTTGATGCAGACGAAGTTTTCTGCACTGGGACAGCAGTGGTAGTGTCACCTGTTGGCAGCATTACTTATAAGGGTAAAAGGTAATTAATAATTTTGCATCTACTTCATTTTCAGTTTGTCTCCCATTCTTTATCTTTTGCGGCAAATGGAAATGATAGGTATGCAGCGCTTATTAGATACTTTTTCACGGGGCCATTATTTTAGTAAATAAAATATTAACACTTGCATGAAAAATTAGGAGGATGAGAATACAATCTCCAAAAGGCCAAATACATGGAAAGACGTAAAAATTGTTGAAAATGCCCATGTCAGATACAAACCTGTGTCCAATGAACTCGAATCCAAGTAACATAGGGAGTGGCTGTAGTTGAGCTTTAACTTGTTAATTTTACAGAAAAGCTGTGGCAAATTAAATTTATTGTAAAATAATTTTAATGTGCAGGGTATCATATGGATTAGATGGTTTTGGGCCTGTTTCACAACAACTTTACTCCATGCTTACTCGAATCCAGATGGGTCTTATAGAAGACGAGATGAACTGGACTGTTGAGTTGAGTTGAGTTGAGTTAGTAATACTGTAGTAACGTCTGGTTTGCCTTCTATAAAAACATCACCGCCTAAGGTAAAATGTCCTTATTTTCCTCCTCCAGTAGTATGTAGACAGTTTTTCCTTTTTTGGGCAATGTCGGTCAGAATTTTCACTGTTTTTGCACTGAATAATGTAGTATCAGAATTTTCAAGCTTTTCAAACTTGTTAATTTCGAAGCAGGAAACCAAAAGTATTGCAACCAAACTTTTAGTTGTTTCATTGGCTTGAAAAGAAAAACTTGGAATTTACTAACATTGATAGAAGAATCAAAGATCCAAGAATGGGGTTGCGATTAAATTTCATGTTGCAAAATGTTTCTTTTTCAATAATTGATGCGCCTCACGTTGTTTGCTATGGTTGTTTCCCATTAACTATAAGAAAACACACTTCGGCCTATGACGGTCAGTTCAAGTCAGAGCTGGCCAAGTCCAACCCACATCTCACTCTATCAAATTGAATTTTAGTTCTTTAACTGCTGCTTCTTGCATTCATGCCATGTGTACAATAACTATTGTAGAATTTCTAGTCAAATTTTGTAACTCAATTTTGATTTCACTCCTCTTTTGGTCATTAAACTTAAAAAATTAATTTCATCACTCAATTTCGTTTTTTTTTTGGTCAGACGTCAACTGTTTTTTGATCACTCATACATTAAATCAGAAATGGTATGGTATTTTATAATCTTCTCAACAATTTTATCTTCTCTATGGTCACTCCTCTCTGCTATTAGTTGAACATTTTTTTTATGTCGGAATCATTATTTAAGTTCCCCGTGCCATCAAATCCCATTAAGAAAATTGAAATATTTTAGTTGAAAAGATTAAACTGTAATTAAATTTATGTTTTTGAGTTATTTTTGTATACAATATTTAATTTATTTAAAATTCTTAAATAAAGATTTATTATAATTCAAATATATTTGCATTCGTGATATTTAAGATATTGAAACACTAATAATATTAATAACAATTGAATTAAGATTCAATTAATAAATTTAGAAAATTATTTAATCAATAGAAGGCAATTGCAATTTTATTTAAACTTCACTGTAAAACTATATAAAGTGTCTTCTTAACATCTTGATATATATATAACATTAAAATGAACTTTCAAGTTCATTCAACCTCGGAATCGAGTCTAATACAAGTATTTTTTTTACAATCCAACCTAGATCGTATTCATCACGATTCATAGACGGTTGAATTTGTGATGAACGATTGAAGATGAAATAACAAAAACACCAAGAATATGCCCTCAACATTTTCCTTTGATATAATTTTCGTTTAAAAAGTCAAAGATAAACTGAAAGTGAAGACATTACGAGAAGGAATTGACATGTGGAAACGGTCAAAAAAATTATACTAAAAAGAATCCAAATTGAATGACAAGAATGTCAAGTTAGCAATAATAATATTAGGGTTTTTCAGCAAATTCTCTTTTCTTTCTTCTTTTGACCATTTAAACACATTTTTGTCCTTTATCTAAATTTCTTCCACAAATCTTAAATTAATGCAAAAGGAGAGAACAGCAGTGTAGCTGACTTGCTTTTCAGGTTCTAGCTCGTGGAGAGAAAGAAGAAAGTTTCAATCACGATCAAATGCGTAGAGTCAGTCAACATGCCATGCATGCATGGCATATATGGTTCCAGATATCTTGCATGGACCCAATTTACAATGCTGTTCGACTAAAAAATATGACAATTACTAGACCAGTCTTCAAAAATTAAATTTAAGTTCATGGTCTAAACAAAGCATTAATATTTGAAATAATTCCAAGCTTTTAACTCATTGAGTTCTATGCAATTCGAGCGAAGGTCAAAATTATAAATTTGTGATATTCTTTTGAATAAACAATGATTTAAGACGTTAGTTATTAATTTCATTTTACTTCAACGGTTAATTTCTAATAGCATTAAACATATTCCTGCTAGTATTAGAAATCATATAAAAATAACATGCATAAAAGGCACCATGACAACTGTCTTTTAATTAAATTGTTCAAAGCTTGAATTGCAGTTAAACTTATTTAACAAGTTTTTAAACAGGGACAAATATCATATTAATTTGATAAAATTATATATTAAAATAAATAAATACATTCATTTAAATTTATAAATTTAGTGATTTATACAAATTAAAATTATATATATTATTATACATAATTAAAATCTATATATCATATTATGTATATTAAATTAACTATTTGTTTTTATATTTATCCTTTGACGCGGTAAAAAGAGAAAAGATCATCGAACTTCAATTCCTAGGTGTTACAGTAATTTTATTTAAAGGATAGAAGAAAGTTGTATTAAATTATTTTTAACTTTTGATAGTGATTCCTTCGCATGTTTCTAGAAGCGATGCATAATTTTCTAAATCATTGTTTGATTTCTTAAATTGTTTATTTTTATATTATTTAAAAATTAAAAATATAATAATGGTGGATGTTGAGATTTAAAACTTGTTAAATATTTAAAAAAATAGTTATATGAATTAATTAGGTTAAAATGTCTAAAAATATATCATACAGTTATACAGTTGGGATATATTTGAACAATTATTATAATTTATGAATTTTATTAGAGTGAGAATTGATATAATTACATGTGTAGTTACACTCTTTAATTTTATATTTAATATTATTTTTAAATTTAAATATATGTAATAATGTAATTATAATTTGTACAATAAAATAGGATATTAAAAATTACAATGTAATTATATTATGTTATTCAAATATATCAACATAATTAAATTTCTTATAATTACACTCATATGTAATTACATTGTAATATCCAAATATACTCTTAAACTTTATCACTTTAAAAATAATTAGATTGAATAATATATATATATATATCAAAAATAAAATATTTTATTTTTATTTAAAACCTATATAAAAGTATGAAAAATCAAATTTATAATAACATTATTAGCATTTTAAAAGCAATTTATAGTTCTTTTTAGATTAATATCGAAATCGACTTCATCACATCAGAGTCGGTTATGATTTTAATATTTTCACTTAATTTTTTTATATTGTTACTTAACCCTTTCTAAACAAATAATTAACAAAGCCAAATGCCATCATTATCTCATCATTATGAGGTGGTGTATGTCACAGAACCAAATCAATACAAGTGGCTTAATCTTTTTAGTTTATTTTAATGGAAATGAACACCAAATTTCTTCCCCCACAGTTTCTTCCACTTTCGTTTTTCTTCCCCAGTCATCCATCATCTTTATCATCCGTCTTTTCGGACAATGTCGTTAGAAAAATACCTAGAGATTTTATATTTAAATAAATAAAAAGCTTGGTTACAGAAGATGCCATTGATTGTCAAACAGGGTTTTGATCGTATAATTAAACTTTGATAGTCAAAAGTGGTTTTATACCGTAAAGCTGTACAGCTATGCAGAAATTAGTCCCCAGATGTTAACACACAGCCTGAGCTGTGTCCTACCCATCGCACCATTTCCCTTTGGCTTCCGCGTTCGAAATTTCTCTACTTTCACTTTGCTTTTCGTTTATTTATGTAATAAATAAGCTGAGTGGTGTTTTTTTTTAATAATATGGGATAATTATAAGATAATATACGCATATATCCTTCAAACATAACTATTTGAAGCCAAATACTTAAAATAAAACAATACTCCCTTCAATTGTTAGGTCACTCAATCGATTGAAACCGAATAGTTTTTAAAAGTAAAAATGTATAATATTGCCGTATATTGACTTTTACTCTTGGATATGATCTGAATTATTAGTCAAGGCAGCCATCTTTTACGATCTAACATTATTCTTTCTTTGCATTTATAAAATGCTGCCCTTTAAGAAGTAAGAAATACGAAATCATATTATAGTCCAGTCTGTAATTGCATTATTAACTTTAGTAAATTGATGTTTAAGAAAAGTAATCCTTTGATTTATTATTTTTTATTCATAATAATTGGAGGCCAAATGTATGTTTAAGAATTTCCAACTTTGAACTTTCAGTTTAGAGAAAGAAGTGGTTAGTGGCTTAAATATACATAGAAAAACAAAAACAGAAACATAGATTTATAGGGGTGTAAATGAATTAAACTTGAACGAATAAATTTATATTTGTATTAATTTATTTATTTTGAATGTGTTCACATACACTTCATGTTCGTATAGATTTTCAGTATCATGTTTGTGTTCATTTATTTATTTTTTAATATGTTAATATTTGTTCGTTTAGCGTTCGTGAACATATTCATTTGATGTTCGGTCATCAACACTATTTTTTATCCTTTTATTTGTATGACAAATAAAATGGTGAAATTACATTACTAGTCCTTAATTTCCTTAAACTTCACAATTCGAAGTCCAAAGTTAACCTTATATTCAATTTAGCCATTATCTTCACTAATATTTAAAATGTAAAAGAATAAAAGAAAAATGATAACCGAATAAACAAACTTGTTTATGAACATAATCAAATGTATTTATTTTTAATATATATATATAATTAAATCATTAGTAAAATATATAAATGAAATATCTAAACTATATAAAAATTTAAAATTTCTAAAATATGCGACCATCCCAACAGTCCAACACATCCTCAATCTAACTTTTAGTTGACAACTTTCCTCCGCTTAGGTTGTGAGTTCATTACTCATGAGAGTAAAATTCCTTTTCCCCTCTTTTTAGGTAATAATTGTTCAAAAATAAAATGTTATAAGTAAAACGAGTTACATGTGCTAACATTTAAATTTTATGGAAATATTTAAAAAATGTGATTTGTATGAATATATATATCAATAAATAAAAGTTGTCTCCCGATATAACGTGATGGTTGATTTTTATAATGAATATCGTTTTTTATACTTTTAGTTTGATTAAAAGTATTAATATAAAAAATGGGGTTGATTCATTTTAGATTTAAGTGATTTTTTATACTGAGTGAACTAAAAATCAATTACTGGATTATCCTAATACATCTCTTTTATGCTGTGTTGCTTTTGTAGCCTTATTCAACTTACATTTTACATAATTTATTATCATACTTTAATTTAAAAATATCCACTATCATACATATATATAAATTTATATCATATTTTAAATAATTTGTTCAAGTGATTTAATTTA